AAAGGGGGGATCCTTGCGGAACTCCCGCTTCCACAGTTCTTAACGTGGAAAGGTGATTGTTTAAACGGACCCGGAATTTTCTGTCTTTCAGAAAGCTTGCCACAAACTGCACAAAGCTAGTTGGCAGATTGTAGAAGCTGGCCAATTTCCAGATTATTCCTTAGTGCCAGACAGTGTCGAACGCTTTTGCTATGTCCAGGAGAATAATCCCCGTGGAGGATTTTTCCTGGTGTCCAAGCGCGGCGTCTTCCACTAGTCTGGCCACTTGCAATTCGGAGTCGAGATTTTGAAACCGAATGGTTCGTGGGGGATTCCGCTGTTGTGGGAGATTTTATCCAAGAGTCTTTCTTTGAAGAAATTCTCCGTAAGTTTTGAGAAGGTGGGCAGAAGGCTAATTGGGCGCCAGTTTTGGGGAAAAGTTTTGTTTTTTCCTGGCTTTGGGATGAGAGCTATAGCAGCTGTTTTCCAGCTGCTAGGAAACTCGCGGAGTGCAAAGGCACTATTTATCAGGGTTAGGAGGTTTTGTAGGATGTTTTCTGGGAGCATTTTGATCACCCTGTTTGAGATTTTGTCAATGTCTGGAGCGGTTTTGGTCCTTAGTAGATGTATTTGGGATTTTAGTTCGTCGATTGTAACTGGGGGGATAGTTTTGTCTGTTTTGGTGATGGTCTTGGTAGTTACGTCTTGGTAATGGTTCTCGACTTCTTCTCCGAAGTCGGGATTATTTCCTAGTGAGTAGTCGACTCTGAACTGATTTTACAGCGAATCGGCAAAGGCTTCCGCTTTTGCTTCATCGCTGTAGACCAGTCCATGAGGTCCGTGAATGGAGGGACAGTTTGTAAAGGATTTTCTTTGGAATTTCTTGGAGAGTTTCCATACCGAATTATCACCAGGCTCTAAGTTTTCCCGATAGTTTTGCCAGTTTAGTTTGTTGAGTGCCGAAATTTGATTTCTAATTTGGTTTGTGAGTTGATTGGCCTAGCGGTTGAGAGAGTTATCAGAGTTTCTTTTTGCTAATCGCTTAAGGCGATTTTGCAATTTGATTTTGCCTCTGATTTCGAGAGGAAGGCCGAAAGGGTTTTTGTTCGAGTTTGGTTTGAAGATGGTTGCTTTTTGAGTGGCCTCGGTGATTTTTTCGGTGATGGAATTGTTTAGTAAGTTGAGTTCTTGGGTTGAGTTTATTGGTGCGTCTGGGATATTTGTTTCCTATAGGAAAAATCTGAGGGCGTCCCAGTCTATGTAAGTTAGTGGTTGGAGCGGGTTTTGTATGAAGTTTTCTTTTAAGAGGATTTTGATTGGGTTGTGGTCAGAGCTGAGTGAGTCAGAATTTGTGATTGACAAATTGAGAGCTAAGTTTTTGGACAGAGCTATGTCAAGAAT